GAGTAATATAATTGTTGGAGATTACTTTCTCATATAATAGCTTCATTAAAAGCAGGTAAATAGAGGAAGAGTCATCCCATCAGGATGCTCACTGAAACTAAATAAATATCATATTTCAAAGCAACAGCATTACTGTCTTATGTATGTATGTTTTCTAGTGTCTCCTGTTTTGAAGTGGGAAATACTTGCTTCATTTTGACCTGCATAAATGACAGTAAACTCAAGTGAGAAACTCCTCTACTATTTTAGCATTTTTAAGCATGACAGGGAACAAGAAGGAAAGGCAGCTCAGTGGGCTCTTTGTAAGCCTGTCAACAAATATTTGTACTTCGACAGTATTTTCAACTGCAAAGCCATGGCTTATGTGTGGGTGGGAAAATGTGCTGTGGTTCAGAAGCAATATTCACTATACGCATGTGCAAGATATACAAAGGAAAATTTATTCCAGAGCCTTTGCTACGGAGCAATCTCTCTGTATCCAGTCCCATTCTGTTACCCCAGTTTCCTTAATGCACTTTTAGTCAGACAATCTGTGCTCATAGGCTGAGTAAAGTATTCTAGTCCTTGACTGAAGGGACTTCTGAAGCCACGTTTAGGGATCAGGAGGGAACAATGTGCCGTGTTTTTTCATACAGCCCTGTGTTGTTATGATGTTTCCAGTTCTTCTCTGTCAAGGTGATGCTCATATACCTTCACAGGAGACTACATTCTGTAAACATCATGGCTTTGATAACCATTGTTGATGTCATCCTAGCAGGCAAACATCAGTATCTTCAAGATACTGCCTGCTAGAACCTTCTCATCCTTTCATTGTATTTGGCTACTTTTTACTCTTTTAGAACTAACGTATTTGAGCTTACATTTGGCTACTTCAGAAGGCATGATAGTTGAATGAGCACAGTTTATCCTGGAAACCGGATTGGTTCTGTAATGTCAGTTGTCATCACCATTTATTACTTCTTCTGCACTTTTGGCTCTGCAAAAACAGACAAAAAAAAACCCAAAACATTATTTTAATTTTTAAATTTGTTTCCAGATTATTCATGAAATTATTACCGGCTACTGGGTTTTTAAGGTTTTGATGCTATCTTGTAAGATCTGTAATATAACATTTTTTTCCAATGTGCCTTATTAATATTATACAATACTAATTCATTTTAGTTTCAAGACCACAAAGTATCAAGTTAAATACTGTTCCTAAGTGTATTACCTCAGCACAGTTGCAAACATCAATATATTTTTGAAGTTTAGCAAAGAATAACCCGAGTTCAGCTGATGAGGCCTTTTTCCAAAACTCTTAGAGAGTGTTAATATGCTTTTATTGACTGAACTTCATCTTTTACATTTTGTAAATTATGAGGTCAACCATGTTGTATGAGTTCAACTTTGCAGGATTTCCATTGTACGCTCAGCAAGGCAGAAAACTCCTCAGCTAGATCTTCTACAATTATTGACTGAAAGATATCTGTGCACTCCTTTTACCATGTTTGTTTCTTATAAATGTGGTTTAGTATTTAGCTTGTAGACTGGCAAGTTGTACAATATTCTGATCAGATATAAATACTTCATTTTCTCCTTACCAAATATCACTAAGCAGCTAACCACTGAACATATTTTGCATCATTAGCTTTCGTATGTTAACCTAGTACCAAGCATTTACTGATGTTTTCACTTATTTCACAAAACCACAGGAGTCGCCATCACCTCTCTGCGCAGCTTTTTCCAGTGCTTCTTCACTCTAACAATAAAAAAGTTTATTGTGTTTACACTTTAGGTTTCCTTCTATTGTCTCTAGTTTTACTAGACTTGAATTTTCTTTGGCTTTGTTTGGGTGTTTTTTATTGTCATGTTTATGATTGCTATCTACTTTTAATTATTGGCATTCCTTCCTTTTCCAGAAAGAGCTTTTAATAAAACAGCATTTTTTAATATCTAAAATACTGTGGAACATTTACCATGTAATTAAATCTTCTGATATACATCCTAATTTTTGTTAAGACCATAATGTTTCTTGACCTTTTTTTTTTTTTTTTTCTTTTTCTTTTTTTTTTTTTTTTTTTAATAGAAAACAAACCAGGCAGATGTAGAGAATTTATGTGCATATGTGTATCTCACTGTAAGGTAACTGTTGAATCACAGCCTGAAGCACTGATTGAGCACCTGAGGAAATGACCAGGTTAGCCCCAGGAGCACAGGTGAAGGCAATTCACCTGTGCAACCAGAAGGGGTGGAGCCTGGCTGCATTTCTCTTAGACCTCAATTAAGGGCTGACTGCCACTGGGGAAGGATCTCTTCCTGGAGATCTCCTTGGTGGGGTCTTTCTGAGTGAACCTGTAATCTTCTGATGTGTGTGAACAATCACCTTCCTTCCCCTTATAGCACCTTTCTATTGTGCCCTTCCATCATTAGACCTCTAGTGTAGTACCTTTCCCATGATACTGATCTGTCTAATTGCTACACCCAGTAAATACAAACACATAAGTAATGCTTACTCATATATAATCACATATGCATATGAAGGAGTGTGGCTGAGCCTGTGCTCTGTCTGCCTTTGTTTGACGTAATCAGTTGTGACCACTTTTCTTCAGGCAATCACAAGCTTCCAGCCTAGCAAGTGTTCTACCTCTACCCACCACGCTCAGGTCTGTGTGTGTGGTACCTATTTTGTGCTGAAAAATTGTTGCTAGTAACTCCTGAAAACTCCAATGCTCCAATTACCACTGTCTTCATGGCACTTCATATATCAGTGATTATAATGCCAGTTTTACTTTCACATAGCATTGACAGGCACTTAAGGGCTTATTTGCTTTTTTAAAGAAGTGTATTTTGCTTTTAGCACTGATGACTAAATGCTTTCCATACATTATTCATATTTATATTACATCAAACTGTAAATTTGTGACATACTGGAAAAACTACAGTTTTGGCCCCTGATTGATTTTTCTTTCATAGCTTTTGTGTTTCGTTATCTTTCAGTGGTTAATGATACTTTATGGCATTATATTATTAATGTAGTGATACAAATTAAATTTGTGTGTAACTGAAATCTAAATCTTAACCAAGTGCCACCAAAAGTAACACAACAATAGACAAGATAAGAATTCAACCTTGGTATTACAATTTTCCTCATGTTGCATTTGGTGCTAAAGATAAGCAGTAACTTACAAAAAAAATTGATTGACTTGATTCCATCTGACAAGATTTCACATATGCTGGAACATATTTTGTTGCAGTTTCTGTAAAAATGGATACTGTTGTTTAGCTTTATTTAAAATTATTTTTTGTTTTACCTAAGATATTCTAAGATGTTCTTACATTTGCTTTTATTATTCATCAGCAGGTAACTTGTGAGTAAAAAGTGCACAGGAAATATTGCTATCCTTCTGTTGTTATTACAAATTTGATTTGGCGTGTTAGTAACATGACTGTCAAAACTGTTTATATTTAAATGTTCAGCAGAGATAATCATCACTATGGAGTTTGGGCTCAAAAAAAAGGGTGACATCTTCCTCCAGAAGCAAATCTGTGATGGAAATTTCCATGCAGATCACTTGACAGGAGATTACAAGTTTTACTGCAGGCCAGATACAAACTGAGAGATACAGAACATGCAGATGCTTTCATCTTGGGGTTGCCAAATCTACTGTATTTCCTTCTCACTTTCTTACTCAAAACCCACTCAAAAGTGGGTCATACCCAATTTTGCTTCAGTAAAAGCATTTAAGTAACAAAATATGCATTGGATTCTGGAAAGTATATACTGAGACACACACAGTTATTGGTCATTCTTAGTAATACTACATTCAAATTTTCCCAGTATTAAAGAAAAATATCTTTTCGTAATAAATAATACACTGCCCCAAAGATATTGAAACACACCCTAACTGTACCTAACAGAGTAGGTGTAACCTTCAGTCAAATGAGAAAAACCTAGAGAGATTCCAACTCAACTACATGCATCACCAAATGTATCATGACATTGCCAGACCTTGTAGAAATAGTTGGCAATGCTACTTCTGTTCTTCAGGTGCTCATGTAATTGAGGACACTTAAAAGGAATGTGTTCTTATTTCTACTCATCACAGGCAAATATAACCCAACAGTTTCTTTGGCAGGTTGCTTTGACAGCTGTATTAAGGCCTCTATGTGATGTTTGTTGGTTTGTTTTTTTTTACCTCTAGGTTTTCACTGGAACAAATAAAGCATAGAAATAAACTGGATGGTTTATCTTCTATTGTTGAAATTGAAGTTCATCCTAATCATTTTTACAGTCAGTAGAACAAATCACTGACTAATAACAATGGTCAGTGACAGCACTCAGGTGTAAATGTTCTTTATCTTCCCTTACATCTTTTACATTACCTTTATTTTCTTGCTACTGACAGTTTAAGGGGAGGGCTAACAAACTGCCAAGGATGGTCTGCATATTTTGAGACATTAAAAAGGGAAAGCTCTCACACAGCAAGTGTAGTCTTTCTATAGAGTATTTAGAGAACACAAAGAAACTTTTTCAACCCTATCTAAAGTACAGAACTAATCCAAGTTAAAACCTGCCTGCAGGCAAATCATGTGTAACAATTCAGAGTTTATCCTTGGACAGAGAGCATGTTGGGTCTTGGCTGTACTCTCCTTGCACTTTGTGCAATAATTTGTGCTCCTGCAAAAAAAAAAAAACACCACCTGTCTTACTGGGGATTTAGTTGTCTTTTTACAGAGCTCCACGGGGCTATCCAAAGAAGGCTTCCAAAGAAGATATCACACCTAGAATCCTATTGTAATGGATCACAGGCTGTTTGGCATGTTGGAAATTGGCAGACAAGCTTTGGCAAGCTGTTTCATAGTGGAAAGAAGGTTTTGCTTCCAACTCCAGTCCTCTGCTGGAGTTACTGTCTGCACAGTAATAGGGGAATGCAGACCTTTGACTTAGCAGCTCTGGTGCAAAGGTTAAAACATTCACCTTTGCTAAAGGTTAAAGCTGAAATATTTTTCTGGCAATGCAGGTGGATTTGCACTAAAACATCAAAGAAAGAGAAGTACTTGATTCCTTTGCTGTTCTACAGGTTGGGAAGAGGAGACAGAAAAGGTGGGTGGCTTTCCATGAGGTGTAGCAAAGAAGGGTGAGAATTGCAACATCCAAAATTGATTCAGCGTGACAACTGGTGTTGGTTGAGCGACTGGCAAATGACCACAGTGATTTATGTGGATTAAGTGTCTCTCTTCTGTAAGATACTGCATTTAAATTGCTAAGCAGAAGTGCCTAAACAGATGTTCCCACTTCTTACCTATTTCAGTGCAATTCCAACAGCTTACTTATATGAAGTTGTGTGTGGCTGGACTTGCAAACAAGTTTTCCTCCTGCTATGTTTCCTTCAGGCTGGTAATATATAGCAGAGGGGCACACATGCAGGTTTATCAGAGGTGTAAGGACTTTTGCCACCACCCAGTTTGTCTGTGCCTGTCATCCCCACACTCATCCTGGCTGAGTAACATGCTCACTGCTGGCTCTATGCAGTCTGGCATAGCAGACTTCTTCATCCCCGCCAGTTGGGCAACTGGCAGTCAGTATACGTCCTTGCCTTGTTAACCTTAAGCTGCATCTGTAGCTGAGACCCTTCTGTTTCCTGTCCTGACTGGGCAGGAAACTAATGTGGTTTTGTTTCTTTCTATATAGAGATTCTGTCCCTCCTGTATTTCTGCAAGTTGAAAGAACAATACGTGGTCTTGATCTTACTGCCAAGCTTGTTGCCTTTCTGAAGGAAACCCAGCTGTTGATGTTGCCAAGAAAATGACAAAGATACATGAAAATTGCACAGAATCTGGAGCACGGGTTTGCAACCTTGATCACTAGTTATCAAATAATTCCAGAGTTTTACCCATGAACTGGCACTATTAAGATCTTCTTTAAGGCACATCTAAATGAAGAAATTCCACCAATGTGGCGGTAGAAGACTTACATTTCTGATTCTTGCTAGACTTATCAAGTTCCAAATCTAAAAGTGCTCCAAAATATCCTGCTGGTGCCACTGCAAAAATTAAGCTCGAGTCTAAGCCCATGCAAAGGAATCTTCATGACTGTACATTGGCTTGGCTGGAGAAATGGCAAATGGCCCAATTGTAAGTTTCTTGGCTACACCCAGACTTATTAAACTTCAAAAATATATAAAATTGAGGAATTTTTTTATTCCCACTATTTGGTAAGGTCTAAATAAAGCCTTTGAAACTTCACTTACTCATGCAAATGTTTAAAATGCAGCTGTTCAAACTGGAACGCGTACATTCATCAAAACAAGGTACAGAGCAAATGGTAAAGAAGACATTGTGGTGGAGGATAGGGCATACATCAATAGGAAAACAGTTAAGATTTAATTCATACATATTTACTTGAACATGTATTTAAAGCCAAGTATTTCCTCCCATATCTTTGAATACATATTTGTGTCTTTCTGTTTAATGAACTTTTCAGTCCTCTCACTTCCCCATACTTTTATACACATTATTTTTTTTGTGCTGCTTATGAGCTTATGTGCTGACTCCTTATTTTTTCTCTGACTGTATTCACATCTGTATTTTATCATTTTGTTTGTCTGGCTAGCTGCAAAGCAATACTCTCCAATCTTGCTAGTCTGTCAGCAGTGTGAAAATACCATGAAATGTAAGCCACCAGCAAATGTGTGAACTACTGGAACTACTGAAAGCTGCTGTTTGCTGAGTTGTGAACTACAGAGAGCATAAAAGCAGCAAAATTTTTTTGTTGTTAATACTGTTGATTCTTTCCTTTTTTTTTTTTTTGTTGTTTTTTTTTGTTCTTGCCATGGATTTTGTAGTGGGTAAGATTTGCTTAAAAATAACAGTGAATTGCGTAAACACCTTGATATTAACAGTAGTTAAATATTGACTTCAATTTCAATATTTTAAAAATCATGTTTCACAGAATGTATCTTTGTATATTGTTCCTGATATTTGGCAGATCGCTCTTGGCAAATGCTCCTGTTGTGCCTCAATCACATCAATGCACAGATTGCTGTGTTGCCATAAAACTAATTTCATTTGCAATTTCCACATGGGGTGAGGAAATTGCAATTAAGTGACTGAGACACGAGTGTGTTTCATTCTGCTGCATCTGCAGTCAGGATGATTGTCTGTATTGGAGTGACAGTACAGACACATGGGTCAGTATTATTTGAAATTTCTTCACCAAGATTCAACAAGTCTGTTAATCAATGTTTAAAATATAACTATAGAATAACATTAATATATTATACTTAATGTTTATTATCTCTCTTCTGCTGCTCAGAGGACTAACTGGTGTTCATCAGGGATTGGTGAGCAATTTCTTGTGCATTACTTGTCATATACATTCATAGATATATATATATATGGATAGATAGATATTTGTCAGCAATTATCCTTTTCCCTTTCTCTATCTTAGTAAATAGCTCTATTTTCAATTCTCTCCCCATCTCCCTGGGAACACAGTGGAGCGAACAAACAACTGCGTGGTGCTGACTGCTGCTGGGTTAAACCACAGCACTCATGACTGTGGTTCACAAGATCTGTCATGCACAGGTTAAAGGAAATGGGATAGCTTGCAGCAGCAGCAACACAAAACCCAAATCTTATCTTCAATGAATTTGTGAAATGTTTTGCTGCTGACTTCACTGAGGTCAGAAGTGGACTGCCTAACTGGGAAACTTGTTTTTAACAGTCATCTAGATTTTCACCATTAAAAACAGGGGAAGATGTGTGCTTGGAGGATCTACTCCTCAAACGAGAAATGTATCCTTACAACCTCCAAGATTTCATTCTGCAATATTAAGGGCCAATGTAAGGAACAAACAAATTCACTACAAAATAATAATTATTTCATTCCCTTTGATTTCATAAGCTCAATGCTCCGGTTGGATAGTATATTTGAGTAATGATTGAGGAATTGTGCCAGTAGTAGAAGGAAGCACATATTCTTCCCTAGTTACAGCTGTAATGTTGATATAAGGCTTTTAACCAATGGTCTGGACAATGTGTGAATGAGTCATAGGTATAAAACATAACAAGCTACTGCTTCTCATTTCTTAGCTATGTCTGAGTGAAATGAGAGTTCATGTGAGAACTTGTAAACAATAATAGGAAAATATGGACCTGTATAGCAGCTTAGAAATTCTGTACCAAGATTATGACATTGCAAAGTGCTTTTGTGTTTGTTAACCTAACATAGTAAAGCTAAACTGGTCAAATAATTATCTGATTTTTAATTTTTAATTAAAACTTGTTAGTGTTTCATAGATTTCAGTATCAATCTAGTACTAATATTTTTAAATCATAATGCTCAAGTAGTACTTAAAATGGAGCTATTTTTGGCAGTAATTACATTTTTCGATAGAACTTAGCTCCATGTGACCTCTTTGTAGAAAAAATAGTATTTTGTTAAGTTAGCAGCTTTTTGCTATCTTTCTCGGGGGAAAAATATGATTGTTTAAAAAAAAATCCTCAAAAGTATTGTTTTCAGAATGAATAGGACAATAATCTAAATATAGTTGGCTCACTTCTAATAATGCTTTCCTCGGAAACAGTTTCCAAGTACAACCACTGGAAATAAGCAAATGCTAAGAGACAGATGACATTCCCTAAAGAAGACTGACAGCTTTTCTTATTTATATATTTATAGTATATATTTTTACAAAACACATACATATATATTTTTATGTGTATATAAATGCACATATGTTTATATATTTTATATATAGTCATATATATACATATACTGAAAATTCACGTTTTTGTCCTTTGCATTCTCTTTTAGGAACCCACTAGATCCATGGATCAGGCATGTAACAACTCTACAGTGACTGAAGTCTTGAAGATCAAATGGCTTTAGTTTTGCCTGTTTTCTAATATTTTATATAAATATTAGGATTGCATGCCACATAATTATTAAAACGCTTCTAATTTACTGAATTTAAAGTCTCTACACTTCTTGTTTTTTCAGTTTTTAATAATGCATTATTCACTTTGCTTGTTAAGAGGACAAACCTGCTGCTCAGTTATTGCTCTTCTGATGCACAGAAACTTTTATGTACACACATTTTACAACTTTTGTAACCTGAAAACAAGGTTTCCATCATGCAATAAGACCATACTCTGTACTGAAAACTAGGTAGGAATTTTCAGCAAGATTGTGTTAATGCTTAATGAGGGCTCCTTGGAATTGGTAGTTTGGTCATACATGCTCTAAGAGTACCATAGCAATGAATTAATGCCTTTAATCAAATGTCTGTATTTCAGAAGTTTCTTCCACTCTTCCTTAAGGTCATGGTTAGGTTGATAATGCTTTTCTGGATCAATATGCTGACTTGCTGGCATACATAAGCAAGGCTGACCTTTTGCTAGCACAGCATATGTCACATCTATATGCATGTTAAACACTTATGCTATGTTTTGGCTATATAAAAGAAGTTTATTGTATCTGGCCAAAGAAGCCAGAATACTTTTTCAAATTACTTGTACTATTAAAGACCTATCAGTTACATCTGCAGCTACTAACAATCTTGTATCTCTTATTACCAGATATTCCTGTCATTTTTGCCAGTGCAGATGAGGATGACCTGTTGGATCATTGTCTCACTTACTATAGATTAGAAAGGATATGGTAAGGTGCATAAATACATTGAGTATTCACAGACAAAACAAATTCTAGCAAGTATTATTGATAGGAGACAATAAACAAATATAAAACTTATTACTTACTTGTTTGTTGTTGGTTTTTTTTTTTTTTTTTTTTTTTTTTTTTTTACACTGCAAGAAAAACATATTTTCCTTCTTTCCCACTGCCACTGAGAAGTGTGGATGGATGTAACGTTTAAAATATTTAATTACGGCTAAGACAATGAGCATTATTAGGTTCAGTGACTTGTATAACTGTGTGTCCACCTGTAGGGAATCTGCTTTAGCAGGAAAGTTGGAATCAATGATATCTAGAGGTCCCTTCTAAGCCCTACAATTGTCTGCTTTTAAGTCATGCATGTGCTATTTCTTTACACTGAAATAACTCAGATTCACGTGCAGCCTTTGCTGCATATTCTAATTTGGGTTTTTGTGTTATGCATAGTCAACAAACGTACAGTTGGAAAAGTAGAATGGCTAGGATAGTACTTCATAGGTGAAAATATTATTATGGTGGAGAAGAAACAATCAAGAATGAAATGCTCACCCATATCCGAGGATCTAGGCTCACAGTGGAAAACTCCTAAAAGGAGGGATCTCCAGAAAGACATCCTTCCCTGGTGGCAATCAGCCCTTAAATGGGGTCTAGCTTTGTTCCACCCCTTGTAGTCACACAGGTGAATCACCTGGTCTAGTAAAATAGCACTAGTACTAGACACAGGTCTAGTAAAAATCACCTGTGCTCCCACAGCTGACCCAGTCCTTGCCTCAGGTGATCAATCAGTGCTTCAGGCCATGACTCAAAACAGTTCCCATACATGTTATTATTTGAGAATTGCTTATACATGCAGCCTCATATAGGAGTCTTTCGTAGATTTGTTTGGGGTTTTTTTGGTTGTATGTTTTATTTGTAGTTGTTTTATTTGTTTTGTTTTTTAGGCTAAGATAACTTCACATAGGTGGCTTAATTCTGAATGTCTACAAAAGCTGAAAGGTCTTACTGTGATCCTCTTTGTACAGTTGAAGCTCACTGAGTGTGCAGAATCAGATCTCAACAGGTATATGGGTTATTTGTTATTAATTTATTATGATGATAATACATGATGATAAACAAATGGGTGATAAAGGAATAAGCAAATAGTTTGAATGACAAACAGATTTTATTTCCGATAAAACAAAAGCAGAATTTGCAAGTCCAATCTCTTTGCTAGTCAAAGTGAATATATTAACCATAAAATATACATAGACTAACAATACTTGGGATGTGGGCAGATACAAATTCATAGCTGGGATTAGCATAATCCCTACATTTATGTTCAACATTCATAAATATTGTGTATACACATAATATATGTGTATATAATATACACATAAATAATACGTGTATATATTTATATATATTTTCATGTGGAAAAGCACCAAGAAAATGGTGTTTGAGTGGAGGGCAGAGGTTATGAACCATCTTCATAATTTGAATTTATAACTCATGCACCGAATGGAAACAGAACCATATATGATAGCACTTTATTGATTCATTAATATTTATTTATATACACAGTAATATACCATGCATCAACAAATTGGACTCTTTAATAAATAGTATTAACATTGCTTCTTTTTGCATAATCAATTAATGTTTCTGCATTTGACATTCTCATTTATTTCATTTATTTCTTGTTGCATAATGACTTATCTTGTTCTGTGCTGCAGTGTTTACTCCTAAGGAGTAGAAAGTTAAACAGTAAACTTTGTTAAACAGTATTTTGTTGCCCAGTAGCTCAAGTAATCAAAGTGAAATCTATTAACAATTAATTAGTATCTTAATATTCAATTAAATACCCTTTTTTTTCTTTTGGGGGCATAAACATTACTGCAGAAGTTATTACTGTAGAAGTTCCAGACAGGTAATTCTTAAAGTATGTGCATCCTGTGATGTGAATCCTGTAAATAGCACATAAGGAGCACTGAATAACAGCAGAAGCATGTGATTTGTAGGTAAATATGGACAATAAAATTTAGCCTTTTGCAATTAATGGGGTGTTGACAATCTGCTCAGACTTTTTTTTTCTTAAGCACTGTTCTAGTTTTATATAAAACTTTTAAATTAAATTGAAATTTAATTCAAATCTCCCATATCCTGTAACAATAAAAGCAAATACTATCAGTTTCTCTACAAAAAAAAAACAAAGGTCATGAACTCTGATAATCCAGTATATAAATAAACTGGCTTTTATAGCATCCTCTCCCATTTGATTGCAGCTCCATTCCAGGAGCATGCTGCTCTAATGAATATCCATAATGACAAAATAGCACTCAAGGCAGGTGACAAAGCACTAAACAAATTGGAACAAAAAAATCATAGGCTCACAGAATGGCCCAGGTTGGAAGGGACCTCAAGGATCATGAATCTCCAACCCCCCTGCCACAGGCAGGGCCATCAAGCTCCACACTGAATACTAGACCAGGCTGCCCAGGTCTAATAAAATAAAAAAAAAAAAGCAGTATCAGGCATGGTGGCTGCTGTCAAGAGTAGTATTACTGACCTCATAAGAAAGCACCTGAGTTTCCATTTACAGTGTATGCAAGACAGGGCTCAGAATTAACGAGGTTTGTAAGTGAAATCCATCTTTTAAAAAAAACAACAAAAAATGAAGTAATATTCACTTGGTATTTTTTCTATTTATTTGTGGGAACATCTGAGTAATTAAACAAATTTCTGTCCTAGAAGCAAAGTGAAGAAATAGATTTATCCAAATGATTGCACTTCTGGTTTCCTGCACATCTAAAACAAAACAAAACAAAACAAAACAACACAAAAACATCGAGAACTTTTTGTATATAGGAATGAAGTTAGCACTGGTGAAGAATTCCTCTTAGTTCTATCAATGGCTGCAAGCATTCCTTGTAGGTAGTACACCTGGCAAAAGCAACACAGTTTTCTCTTTCCTCTTCTGCTTGTGTGTCTCCGATGGCTCCAGCAGAACTTTATGTAGCTGCCCACTGTACACTGAGTAGGAGGTGCACTCTTCTTGCATCAGCAGCAGTGAGGAAAGCTACCAAAATAATAGTTGTACAAAGCAGCTACTGTACAAAAAGTAGTTATACAAAGTTGTACAACAGCTGTGCAAAAAATGATCTAAAATGTTTTTCAGTGACAGTTGCCCCCAGAAAACTGCAAAATTTGATGAGCAGTTCTACAAGTTGTCACCTTTGAGATTTCATTTCACAAGCACTTTTCATTATGAGGAATAAAAAACTGGCAAGACCATTGATTTCATCTAAAATTTGATTTAAAATGCTTTGCTTCAAATAAATGTGTTTCATGATGTTCAACTGCCTGATTTCTTTTTACATGTTGTCGATGTCAATGGCAAAAACTGCCTAGATTTACCATGCTGGTTCCATCGCTATATATTGCTCCATGGCATACTAGTTGTCAACTCCAAGGTCACAGCTTTATTAAAGGATCAAGATTTACAATAATGTTAGCTCCAGCATGAATGCCTTCACACACATCTTCCCCTACTTTACTTCTCTGAGGTCACCAGCCCAATTTCTATCCCTGCCAAAGCTACTAATCCATAAATACTGCAGTCTCCTGAACAAAGTTCAAATGGACCTATCATCATCTTTGAGTAATAAATCTTTACTTTTGTTTAACACCTGCCATCAGAGAATGCAAGCCTCTTTACTTGCAGTAATTAATTTACCTTCACCACGGCCTTATTTGGTGATTAAAAACTGCTCCCCTTTTAGAGACTGAGGAACTGAGGCACGATGACATGCTTGACTGCAGTCCAATAGGAAGACTGAGAAGACTTGGGAGCCTGTGTCTACACATAAGTCTTGAATGCTGAAGCTGAAAGCTGTGCTATATCCCTCCCAGTCCTGTAGTGTCTAAACTGAGGCCTCTGTAACTCTCCTCTTAGTATAGTTTCATGGCATTGATGTGGCAAACCTGAAGTTGGCCATATGGGAGTGTATAGTCCTAACTGATGCATGTAAACATAAAAAAGTGTTCTGCAGACACTTTACCATTCAAGGTGTGGTTGGGTATATTCTGGCTGTGCTTGTAGATTTGAAGGAGTTACTGCTTCCAACCACAGTTCATCACCTTTTATGCCTTCTCAGATCCACAGGCCTGGCTTCCTACTTCATTTCAGACAAGACCAGTTAATTACTTCAAGCAGCAGTTCTTTGCCAGCTGATGAAAAGCTAACTAACTCATAGCAGCCTCCAACAGATGAGTACACGACAGCAGTTACCTCAGGTGCCAGAAGAGTCCCAGGTACAAAAATATACCTCACCTCAGTGACTAAGCTTCCCAGCTCTGTCCTCTCTTGTGAGTCCTTTGCACAAGGAGTCCTGCTGTTGGCACTGGACTTTCTCCCGAACTGAAACACGTACAGTAAATATCCCAGCCCAGATGACTTTGCTCTTAAATTGCTTATAAGAGTGGATGAACTTCGCAACTCCTAGTATATAAAGGCCTTCAAATCTTGCTGTGGTATGATTGGTATGATCTAAAAAGGAAGTATTTGGGACAGTTTTTAGCTTTATCTGGGTCTTAGCTTTTGTTTGGAAGGACAGCAGCATTTTTACTTAGTCATAACTGAGATCCTGAATAAGAAAACAGAGCCAGCATCCTTCACAGGATCACAGAATAGTTCATCCTCTACCCTCATCTAAAGTGAGACCTGAGCTTTAGCTTCACTTCCTTTTCTCTCTCTCCTCTCCAAAGTGTGGGACCAAATAATGGGGGCATTGCCTTGCTGCTGATCCCTAGCAGATACTGATACAGATACAGCAGCCCTGAGGAATGGCTGAAGCCTAGTTTTGAAATCCTGGTGGCTGAAGGAGTAAGTGAACCACAAGGTTTAATGTTTTGTATTTTCTCTTCCCTGAAAACATAATTTCAGGCTACAGAGAGTTTTCTACCTAGCAATCTCCTCTAGACATCTGCTTGTGGTATAGACAGTTGCATTCCCAAAGAGGAAAGAAATCTGAAAGTGAAGGAACCATTTATCTTCAGCCTATGGCACACATTTTTGATATGAGATGAAAGACCAGGCCCGAGCTGAATCTTAGTTTTATTATGAACCAATATAATTTCCACAAATTAATATACTTTGAAACAAACACAGTCTCTAAGAGTTGGTTTCCTTTAAAAGTATTGCCAGCATTTTCTTTGTTGTTCATCTGCCAAGAGTTACATTTGAGGCAATCAGTGCTAGATGGGCTAAGCAAGTCCAAATTCTTCTCTACCTAGAGAGATTTGTTGGCATAACTACATTAATGTAGTGGTCTTCTTACAATTCCTTATTCTGGAAGAAAAGTGCACAGTAATGCTGCTGGATTACTGTAAAATTTTTTGTCAGTCTCATTCAGTAAGCAGAAATTTTAAACAAAATATTATTAATAGCACTAAAACTACACACATAAATGCTGCTGTCATTAGTCAATCTGCATAAATCAATCAGTCTATAAAACAGGGAAATTTTTGTTGATGCATTTTTTTTTCTTACTGTAAGAAATTAATTCTTTGAAACAACACAGTAAAAAAACTTATCTGACGTAAGTGAATATGTGGGTATGCATGTATGGAAAGTGCTCCATACACAGAACAGTGTAACAGAAAATAAATCACTCATCCTGATCATCTTTTTCGCTCAGTACTAAAGTGCTGTTTCCTTTCTCATCCCAAGTAACATCCAAATGGCCACAGTGAGATGTCAGATACATTCCTGAGTTGCCTGTGCAAGGCTTCCCATAAGCCATCCTCTGAACGTTGCTCTGCAGCTGATGTTGTTGGCACAGCCACATCTGTACTACGCAGTGTGTTCACCAGTAATGTCTTACAGCAGAATGACATGCACACATGTTTTGTTTTGTGTAGGCTTATACTTTCATTAGGCTGAGGTGCCACAGTCAACTTTCTCAGTATGCCATGCTGCAGCAGCTGCCTAATGTACACCATAGAATAATCTGAGTTGGAAAGGACCCTAAAGATCACCAAGTCCAACTCCCCTGCAATGGACAGGTACACCAACAGCTAGAACAGGTTGCTCAGCGCTCTGTCCAGCCTGACTTTGAATGTCTCCAGGGATGGGCATCCACCTGTCTGGGCAACTTGTACCAGTTTTTCACTATTCTTATTGTAAAACACCTTTCCCTTATAACCAGTCTAAATTTCCTGTTTTAGTTTGAAACCTTATCACAACAGACTTTGCTAACAAGTCTGTTCCCTTCCTTTTTATAGTCCCCCTTTAGAAGGCTATGAGGTCTACCTGGAACCTTCTCCAGGTTGAACAGCCCCAGCTCTCTCAACCTGTCCTCACAGGAGAGGTGTTCCACCCCCTGGATCGTGTGTGCAGCCCTCCTCCTCCAGCAGGTTTATGTTCCTTCTGTACTGTATACCCAATTTAAGTTTCCCAACATGAAGTCCTAAATTTATTAGTGCTAGAAAGGGTAGCAGAAAACATTCACCTAGTTAATAATCAAAGCTTCTGAATGTTGTAACGTATCTTAAGTGTGTTTAATGCTTTGTGAATACCCCCATGTTTGAACCACTACTTTATCATAAAGAAGAGTGCAGAAACGTCGTCACCATTCATGCAGAAGGTGCTTGCAAACACTTTCCTCTGAGTTCATACTGTCAGCAAAAGTCAGACTGTCTGCCTGCTACTGCTACTTGAATGAAAGGTGCCAATGGCTCAGCTGGGTTGGCCATGGACTTGTAATCTCCGAGAGCCTGTACTACATCCACTTGCTAACCTGTAGCACTTCCCCTAGCCACTGTGGGGACCAGCATTTCGTGGCGTTTCTCCACATCTGCATTTGCAGCATTCTCGACATGGGCACGATGACGGGGGACAGGGACATACAGTAGGGCAGGATCGCCAGCAGCACCCGCAGGGCCCCAAGCGGACATCTGGACGTCAAGACCTTTCCCAGATACGGATTCTCTTAATTCTAGAAACTTTGGGAGCCGAGAAGCTTTAACAGCAGTGCAGGATTAGGTGCGGGCGCAGCGCGCTGCCACAGGACCAGGCTCACAGCCGAGCTCTCCCACACGCCGCCACAGAGGTCGCGGCCTCCGACCAGCGGCGCCCGCGGCCGGGCTCGGCGGGACGAAGCTCCCCTCGGTCGGCCGGAGCCAAGCGGGGCGGAGCCGCATCTCGGGGCCGCTACGGCCCGAAACCCAACGCCGTACCGCCACCGGAAGAAGGGAAAGGGAAGAGACACTCAGCCCGCCGCGTCCCTCCTCCGCGGGTACGCCCACGGGACAAGGGAGAGAGAAAGGGGGCGGTGGCGCCGGGCAGGGCGGGGCGAGGCCGCCCCGCGGTATCGTAATAGTCCCGCCGGGCCGGGAGGCGATCGCCATGGAAACACCGGCCCGCCCCGGGCCCGCCCCTGGCCCCCGGGTGACGGCGGCGGCGGGGCCTGGGCGCTGTTTGGCGGCGGTCCGCAGCGGCGGTTGAATCCGCCGATCTCCGTCCGCGGGCTGGGGCAGGTAACAGCAGGGCCGGACGGCGGGAGGGAACGGACGGCGGCGGCGGCGCTCCCCGGGCCGGCGCCAGAGGGGCGGGGCGGGCGGCGCGCAGGCCCGGGCCCCTTCCCCTCCCGTCCCCTCCCCTCCCCCCGCCGTCGCCGCACCCGGCGCCCACCTGGCGCCAGGTGTCCCCGCCATCTTCCTGCAGTCCTCCGGCCCGGCCCCTCGGGAGCGGAGCAGAGCTGGCCGGGTAGAACTGGCGTCTCATCCCCGCTCCGCACAGACAGACCCCGACGTGTTGCCATGGCTGAGGAAGCCGCCGCCGCGCGCTTCAGCGAGGACGACTTTTACTGTCCCATCTGCCAGGAGGTGTTCAAAACGCCCGTGAGGACTATGAACTGCCAGCACGTGTGGGTATCCCTCCTCCCGCCCCCCTCCTTCCTACCGAAGCGCTCGCCTCACCTTCTCCGCCTTCCTGCCTTTATTTATTTCTCTGTCTTCTCCCCCGGTCGGTTTAGCAGGTGCGGGGCCGGGGATGGGACGCAGCGCAGCCTCCGCCGGCCGGCCCGGCTCTTTCCTCGCCTGTTTCTTTTGTAGCGAGCGGGGCCGTCCGTGAGCAGAGGCACGCCCCGGAACGAGCCCCCCGCGTCTCTCCAGCGTCGGGCTGTGCTGCAGTTGGAAGCAACTTCCAAACATGACTGAAATTGCATTTTTAGCTTTATTTATAGCTTCCTACTCGTTTTCAAAGCGATCGTAGCGGAGTTGTCTCCTGCAGTTCCTGCGTTCGTAGTGGAAAGCTGTGCATGCTTTTAGGAACGTGTAATCGCCAAGTGCTGGCTGGTAGAAATGCAAAATAGCTTGGGTGATTGATACATTGCTTCGAGGAAAAGAGGCCAGAGCAGATCCGGGAAGTGAAGTCTTCGCGAAAACGGCAGGAATGCAGCTTTGCAGTATTTTTGGCTCCACTGAAGGACGATAAACAGAAGTTACTCTGATAAGATTTCCAGCACCACGTGTCTACTGCACCATTTAATATCTCATTAATGATCAATCTAGTGTCCGGCTCAGGAATAGTAGATAGATAATAGTCAGTTTTTACCAATAATTCCCCTAATTTCCATATACTTCTTTTTAAGCTGTTATTTAATTTTCCTGATGTTTATCTTGTAAAGATTTTCTGTTTAGTTGGGGGTTAAACCTCCTTTTGAGGTGGTAATCACTCATCCCTTTTCAGGGACAAAGTATCAAATTTTCTTCACTTTACTAATCTGCTTGGTAACTTTTTAATTCAGATTTTGCAGGAAGTGCTTCTTGACAGCTATGCGGGAAAGTGGAACTCATTGTCCTCTCTGCCGGGGGAGTGTGACTAAAAAAGAAAGATCATATCCCAAAAGGGCTCTAGATGTCGAAAACAGTATGAAGAAAGCTTCCGGGGGCTGTAGATGCTGTGAGAAGCAGGTAGAGTAAAACTTTACAGAAGTGGAATAATAATTTTCTTAGTTTTAACCAGATGCTTCTGCTGTGTGCCATTCATGTATTGGGGCTAACATAGCCTATAGTGTTTTTCTTTGTATGGCTTATGCATGTAGCAGGTGCACAGTGCCTGCCATCAGTTATCAGTTGGGTGTGCTTGATGTAGAAGAGGACCTTGAATTCTCTACATGACTGAGTGGAGTGCCAGTTTTCCCCACAACAATGAGAAAACTGCATACAGCTATAAAACTGTTACGAGTGAGTTAGCTTACTGAAAGTGAAAGCTGGAGATATAGGGAAAACCTCAGAAACTTTCACTGTGGAAGTAAAAGCAATCACAGCCACTCTTATTATTTTATTTATATAAATTTATTAAAATTTAATTTTAGGATGACAAACATGAGTTGGTTGCTCTATGTATATCTACGTTCACATGAAGTTTCTCCCTGCCCTGTATTAAATCAGGCTGTTTACTATGCCTTTGTAAAGCAGATATTATTTTCAGAACATTGAGTGAAATTCTGACTCCACTGAGCTCTAGAGTAATCTATCTTCTAATATGATCGGATCCCAGATTTTAGCCACATATTTTATTTACCAGTCCAGGTAGCCTTCCTGTCAGCTTGGTATCACTTAGGGCGTGGGTCTGACAGTTTGGAAAGAGGAGCTTCTTGCCTTGTTCCTAAAGATACATTGTTATGTAAAAGCTGGGAGAAAGAAACACTAACAAGTTGATAAATCAAAAGGGAGAACCAAGCAGATTCCAGGATGAACTCTAGGCCCAGGCTCATGGTGTTGTTTTATTTAGCTTCTAAATCTGTAAGCACTTCTGACAGTGCTACTGAACCTGAAGTTCTGATATGGGCCTTGTCCAGAACATTCAAATTCTGACAAAATGCAGGCAACTCATCACCGTCTTACCTTGCATGTATGTTAGATAGGCATCCTTAAGCTGGTGTTCATTCCCCTCTTTTTTTTTTTTTTTTCCTTTTTTCCTCAAATAGAAAAATTATGTATTATCAGAACACAATATAAAACAATTTTGCTCTGCACAAAATAGGAGTGGACTAGAGAAGGATGAAGGAGCAGTTGTGCATTATCCCATCCTCATGGCCCGTCTCTGTGCTAGCTCCTCAGTGATTGATCTTCAGCGTGAGAGTTTGAAAGTCCTGCAACTTTGTTTCAATCAAATGGAGTTTACAGGCAGGTTTCACAGCTAAGAGCTCTCAAAGTTGTCTGGCTGTTAAGGGTGTGGGGGGTGGGAATGCTCCCCAGTCTCATAGGGTGACAGAAAAGATCTTATCTTTGGGAAGAAGGCATTCATCCTGAGAGGAGAGACAAAAGTTAGTTTTTCTGTTGTGTGTGACGCCTAAATAATCCCTGCACACGTTACTTTCTGTTTGCAGAATTATTTTCCTTCTATCCTTGGATTATTTAGTATAATTTCAGTAATTTGGCATTTCATTTACAGGTTAGGTTTTCGTGGATGAGACAGCATTATAAAACGTGTAAGAAGTATCAGGATGAATACGGTGTTCCTTCTGTTATTCCAAAATTACAGATTACCCAGGATTCAACAGGGAACAGGTAATCATGGTGATTTCTGTGTAACAATGCATTTCTTTCTCCTAGCAGAAATTATTTGTTTGTTTTTGGTGGTGGTGGTTTGTTTGTTTGTTTTTCCAGGACATGTTTTCTTCTATAATGATTATTGTCTGTGTTCTTAGGCTTAAAAAAATGACAGTTTTTCCAGATATTTTTCTTTATTCAGCACACAGAAGAAAACCTTTCTACATGATGGTTTGGAATGTCTTCTAAGGGTCTCTTCTAGAAATGGTATAATATTTCCAGCTTGCTTGCTTTGCTTTGACAGCACTTGAGCAGCTTGCTTTGTAGCAGATCTCATAATATCTTGCCCCAAGGAAGTTCCCTTCTCCTTTTGTTCCTCTCTCTCCTTTCCCAGCTCTGTTTTAGTGGTTATCCTGTTTCAAAACATTATTGTGTAAGCTTCTGTTTTCAGATTGACTTTGCTTAAAGCTGATCCTTTATGAAAAGTATAAGGAACCTTCAGCATATTACACACCATAATTCAGATACCATTTACCAACTTGCTTTCAGACAGTAAGGCTGAAGAACTTTCTTCCTCATACCTTCTTACTGATGTGTTTTGGCTTGGGTATGGGGTTATTATTTTTGTTTGTTTGCTTTTGGTTTATTTTTCAAGACCTTTTTTATATGCTGTTTTCACTGACCTTTTGTTATATATAGATTGTGCTTTATGCACTGTGTTGACAGTCTGTTTTTAGCAGGCTGAACTTCTCTGCAGTTTTCAGCCCATCAGTATATTGCAGAAGTTCATTCAAACTGCTACCAGAACTAGTTGCAGCAGTGCTTAACTGAAACACCTGAATATTGTTATGTGATTAATTAGTGACTACACCATAGCAGAATATTAGTGTTATATGTTTTGTCTTGAAATTCATATTTTCTGGTATTAATGAATTTTAAGAACTTTTGATAGCGAAGTACGATAACACCAGTTTTCTTTTTTTTTTCTCTCTCTTTTTTTTTTTCTCCTTCAAATAAAGTAGCAGGAATGATGCAGTATCAGCTAATGGAGAGATGGCTACTAATCAAATGCGCCAAGGAAATACAAGGTAAGCTGCTTATTTTCCTATAGTTATTATTAAACTAACTATAGTGTAAGCTTATGCTATCTAAAACAAGCAAAACTGCAACAAATTATGTTTTAAAAAAGTATTTAGTTTCTTCTTTGTTTGCATCCATACATTAGGATTTTTCACTACTTTCTTGAAAGATTTGAACGCAGAAGTGTTACCAGCAAGTAAGAACAAGATGCAGCTGCAATTGGATAAAAAATACTTTGTGAATTCCACGTCTCAGTAGGATGCATTTAGACATACAGATAATAAATTTGCTTTAACATTGCTATTTAGAAGTAGTGATGATAGATGCTCTGTTAGGTCTGCTATTAAATCAATAAAAGTGGTCTTTTTTGTTGTTATCAAAATATGGGAAAGTAATGACAAGCTGACAGATGAATTAAGCTTTCTGTAATACTACTTCCAAAACTTTTGTCTTTTTTTTAATAAGTTTTTACTTGTATATAATTCTTTCTATTTTCATTCTGATTATATGAGGGATTTTAAGTGTGCAGCATCTATTCTATATCTTAATAGACCACTGTGATCCGAGAAAGTCATAATACTTAAAGCACTGCATATAAATAGAGGAATGGCTTTCATTTGAAAATGCTTCTTGTCCGGCACCTGATGGGTTTTAGGGCATTTCTCACACAGCTGCCTCATTTAGCTCAATTTGAAACAAACTCAGCTCTTATGCTTGACGTGCACTCCTCTTCTTCATTTGGTAACTGAGTTATGTTTTTATAGGATTCCATTTGTAACATAACTGTTGTTTTATTTGAAACCTACAGTTAGAAAGTAACCTTAAGGTAATCAATAGAAGAAGACGAGGAAAATCTATTTGGTTTTCTATTCTTTTCATCTGTAGAGGATGAGTTTTCTTTATGCTAGCTTGATCATCTCAGGTGCATGAAAATCCTTGTAAACAGTGTCAGATGTAGCAATTACTTCCTTTTCCAAATTTTATACAGCAGGAATTAATAGAGTGGCAGACAGAAGTGTGATAGTCCTCCATTCCTTAGACAAGCACTAACAAACTTGGAAAGCTGTAATGTAATCTTGAATATTACTCCCCTGAGATAAAGAATATCTAAAATGATATTTCTGTGTAACTGTAGTAAGACGTAGTTCTACTTTAGACTGGTTATTCCTGTAGAACGTGTTTTTAATGCATTCTGTATTATTACCAGTAGCTTTTTAAAAATTTCTTTGTTGTGTTTTTTTTTTTTCCCCCCAAATTCAGATCTGTCCTATTTGTGTATCTCTCCCTTGGGCAGATTCTAGCCAGGTTACCAGAAATCTTGTTAGCCATCTAAATCTAAGACACCAGTTTGACTATGGAGAATTTGTGGTAAGCATTTCCTTCTTTGTTAAGCAGGGGAGTAAATGGTAATTTTTTTATTAGAAATACAAATGCTAAAAAAAGAAAATTGGTTATGCACTTTGTTTCTGCTCTGGACAGAAGCTGGAAGTAGTGTTCTTAACTTCCTGCTATCAACATGAAACGTTGCCAGGAGTAGATGTTGCCAGCAGTTAAATAAGCACAACTCCAAGCTGTTAACTTAAGCATTCTCAAGCTGTTAACTTTTCTTTTTTTTCCTGTGACAGTTCATTTTCCTCAGGAGAAGGAATAACATAATGGGTGATACTCTGTTTTATTTGACATTTTTTTTACCTAATGTGGCACCAGAGTTTAAACCATAGTTCTCAGGACTCAAAGTTCAGCTTGAAGAGCTGGTATGCTGCTACACCCTCTCTTCCAATGTGTTGTGAAAGGGGCTGCAACGTAAAAAAGAGGTGTAGAGTTGGTATTCTTTTGGGCTTATTTTGATTAAATGGACATTGAGTGGATTAAAAGCTGCATACCCATATGTAGTCACTGGGTGGATCGTAACTGAAGCCAACCAGTTGAGTCCTACACATGAGCTTAGAGATTTTGGAGAGTTCACTCTGTAGTTTCAAAAGTGTTAACAAAGTTCAGGATATGCTGTGTTAGCCTCGTATAGAAGGAACGTAGTATTTGAGACATAGGCAGCCTCACAGGTTAAGGAAGGCAAAGATTCAGTATGTACTTTGTGGTGAGTCACCTGTGATGAAGGCATGGAAGAGATTGACACAGGGAATTGAGATGTTGAGCTTGAGTGCATCTTGAGTGCTTGAGGATGCAGACCTACTGATTGGAATAATGATTTGGGAAACCTGCCAGAGTTGTACCAAAGAGATGTATTACTCTGTAATTCACTTACAGAGATATAGTAACATCTTAGAATACATCTCTTCAAAAGAAGCAGGATTAACCACACATCTTTTGCGATACATGTGATACAATCTATGATTACTGTAGTCTGGGGATAAGGTTTTATGTCTATTAATGGAAAAGGTTATGGCTAGTTGGGAGCCCAGGTAGAAGAGTTGTGGGATGCAGTCAGCTTTCCTGAGCTGACTGTTCTGCAATGTAACTCAGCCAGGAAGAGTAGGTGGGCCCTTCTGCTCAATGAGCTTATCCTGCTCATCTGAGTTCTCTGTCTCCTGGTTCTTGGTTAAAAAAAGGATACTGTGCAACATAAACAAAGTAAATACTTAGAGAAATAAAGAGCCTGAAGTGGGGAAAATGAGTTATTGAACTAGAGATTGTGGTACCTGATTATTTGACTATTTTAATGACATTTTCATTTTGTTTAAAATTATCAGCTTGATGAAGAAGCCCAGTACCGAAATGCAGTTCAAGAATCCTGTCATGTGAACTTTTAAAGAATGGATTTCTGTCTTACTGGTTATCCTAGAGGAAAAATTACATGATTTCTGTTGATAATCTGAAACCTGTATTAATAACAAATGGCTTAATTTTTTCCATGTTGATAAGAACTTTTTATATATCACAGAATCACCCGGGTTGGAAGGGACCTCAAGGATCATGTAGTTCCAACCCCCCTGCCTAGCAGGGCCACCAAACACACACATTCAGATCAGGTTGCCCAGGACCCCGTCCAACCTGGCCTTGAACACATCCAAGGACGGGGCATCCACAACCTCCCTGGGCAGCCCGTTCCAGGGCCTAACCACTCTCCTTGTATAGAACTTCCCCCTAACATCCAACCTAAATCTTCCCTCCTTCAACTTGGATCCATATATAACCATATATAACCATTACATATGGTTTTACTGAAACTCAAACTTGATATTTTTAATGAGATCAGGCTCTTGGAATCAGAGACCTTCCTGGAACAACTTTGTCTTCATTGTTTCTAACTTCTACTACTCTGTTAATCACACAGTTTCTTTTACTAATGCTGGATATTCTGATTGACCAATAACAACTTTGAAAACAGCATTTTTAGAGATGCGAAGATGCTCTGCACTGTTGAATTTAAGTTCATCTTTTGTCTCTAAGATAGCTGCAGGTTAACAATTTGTGTTGTCCTCCTGCCTGAGGACAAAGTTTTATTTGATGTTGTGATTTGTTCCTTGCCATTACTATGTAAATGAAAACAGTGCCAGTGTAAGAAATCAAAATACTTGTTTTGTATAGATTAGCAATGCAGAGGTTTCTTTCACTAAGAAAGAATGGTGCCATTGCCTGGGAATGATTGCATCTATTTTCTTCCCCTTTTTGAGCATAACTGAAGTAGAACACTTGATTAGACAACTGAATGGAGAGTTTTCTCCATCCTCCTAACTATCAGTGAAGGTAGCTCCCCTGCTATACTTTCTGAGCAATTCATGATGGCATGCAAGAGGTGTACTTTCTTGGTATGTGAGTGTGTGACTAGCTAGTTTTTTGTTTCGTTGGAGGTTTTTAAAAACTTCAGTAGTTTTAGGAATTTAAGTCACCGTCTGTGCTGTCTCTCACAGCAGACTGTGTAAGTAGAGCATTTATTGGCTTTGGACAAATTGGTGCTCAGAAATGAACTTGTTTATTTTGGTAAAGCTGTTTGATATGTGGACATCTGCTGCATTCAAAGGCTTGAAAAAACACTTGAGGAGAATCTTGCTGTAAATTAATTACCAACATTCTGTTATTCTTGATATCCACATTCTCAGCAAGACTGCCATTAAAATTGGTGGGGGGAAAAAAAAAAAAAAAAAAAAGAGAAAACCACCAATTTTGAATTTAAATAGGAAATGCGTTTTTAAAAGAAATTCCAGATCTTTAATATTAACAGGAGGAAGGGGAAATAAAAAAAAATAAGTCATCTGCACAGATGACATTTTTGGGGATTTAGACAGAGACACTTCTGAATGTATACCTTTGAGGACTGAACCTTCATGCTACGTGACTATGACCCAACGTCAAACTGTTCTTAATGTGTACTGTATGTGTGGTGAAGTACACACCTGCTCTTTTTTTTTGTTTTTACTTATGCCTAGTTGGTGATTTATATGTAACGATAACCATTATGCAGAAGTACAACCTCCAAATCCTGTCTGAGTATCCTCACTCAGTCTGTTTTTGTGCTCTTTTGACCACATACCGCTTTGGAGCACTTCACTGAAAGCAGTGAGAAAAGTTTATTTTGATTTTCTTTTTTTTTTTTTTTTTTTCTTTCCCTTTGTTCCTCTGCAAAGCCAACTATAAAACAGGGCAAAGGAATTTCAGTGTAGCCTGATACTGAAGATTGAATTTTTTACAAGAAAATGATCATGGTGTGTATTTTTTATTGCTGTGTAGATTTGCAAATTAATTTAATTAGTTATGTGAAAGTTTGGTTAACTTCTTTAGATTCAGTAAGTTATTTATATAATCTGGCAATAACTGCCTATAGCCAATACAGATTCAGAACACCTCATGGACACTGGAACTGGTTATTTCTGTTACTTGAGCGTACTTGGAAAATTGCAAACGGAATTACATCTGCTTTAAAAGTCTGGGAAGCGAGTTCTTCTATAGCAATAATTAGTTGCCACTTGATACATGGTTGCTGAAGTAGCATTTTGTTTGCATTTAAACAAAGAGGCTTGAATGCATATGTTAAAGCAACAAATGTGTGTCAATGCAATATTAAAAAAAAAAAAAGAAACTTGCACGGTGTTTATTCTCTTTATTTGCATATGGTGATATCTGTATTGGTAGGCACTGCCTTGCTTTTGATATTTTAAACTTATAATATGAAGAGAGTGCATCCAGCACATTCACTAGGTAAGCATTTCTTGAAAATGAAACAGTCTGTTTAAGTACACTGCTTCTGGTCATGATCTTTCTTACTGAAACTCAAACATGCATAAACCATTGTGTATTTGTAATGAGCCATGCTTGTACTCGAAACATAAAACCTCTACTAAGACATTGCTGTTAAATAATATGTTCATGTTGCATTGTGCATAGCTGAAATATGCTACATTATGTTTTAAATTTTTCCTTTATTATTTTTTCTTCTATTAAAGTATCTTATTTTCTATTTG